CCCTAGCCAGCACAGCTGGTGGTGAAGGCTTCTGGGAGTTGCAGTCCAAAAACACCTGAGTAAACAAAGGTTAAGAACCACTGGATTAAATGAGTGTAGTTGAGACAGGAATAGATGCACTTACAGTTGAGTGTTGAGACCGCAAACAAGTGGGAGTGTGATGAGCAGTGTAATTGAGTGAGAGGGGTAGGTAAGGGTTAGCACTTAATAGGCCTACATGCAGACTGAGCATTTAGGATTCGGTTTAGATTAGATAAAAGGCTATATGAACACTCTTTATTCTGTTGTTATTGCCTCTCATCCCAACTCTTTATAATTCATTTTTTAAAAAATAAATCCCTCTTTAGTACATGTATTTTCTAGTGGTGGTTGTCACAGGAACACCCATGTTGACTGCTTGGTCGCAGATGAGAAAGGAGAAGGGGGAACAAAAGGAAAGCACGATAGAAACTCTTAAAAGGTTGTGGGCAGTGTGACCCTAAGGGTCTGAGGAAAGGCTTAAGGGAAGCCCCTTCCCAGTGTCAAATGATGGTTGATGAAAGGACCCAGGTACCATGAGTATGTGGAGAGGGCAGTGTAAAGGAGCACACGGGATGCTCATTTGGGTAACAACTGGGTCAGATCCGTGGACAGGAGTCCCTGTGTGCCAGGGAAAAGGTGCACACTAGCAGTGGGAACCTTGGGGGTGTCACCGGAGCTTAACTGGAATTCCATTTCTGCTTTTGGGGGGGGGGAATTGTATTTTTGGTCGCAAGTGGTACAAAGGGGTCCTGCAACAATTTAAAAGATGAATTGCTAGTTTTGGAGGCTTCCAGGCCTTGCAGTTCATTTTTAACCCTTGAAAAAGGTGGTCCAGAGAAGGAGTGTGTGTGTGTGTGGGGGGTTTTTTTGCAAAAAACAGAAGCCCCAGAGTCACATTTTCTCCATGCTTAATTAATAAGATTTCACAGTTGATAATGGTTCGCTGATCAACTTATGGATGAGGCCGCCCTAACTTCTGCTAATATTTTATTTTATTTATTTATTTAATTTATATGCCGCCCACACTACCCAAAGGTCTCTGGGCGGCTTTCCTAAAGTCTCTCCCTAAAACATTGTTCTTGAACTTCTGCGTTTCCGAGCGGCTTTCCTAAAGTCTCTCCCTGAAACATTGTTCTTGAACTTCTGCGTTTCCGGAGCATAATCTCTCTCCTTAATGTTCTGTTTCCAGATACCATGTTATCTGGCAAATGGTGTATTGACTGAACAGCAGGAACAACAGTACGTCATAGCTGTTGCCCCGGAACAACATAGCTTGTTCTGGGGAGAAAAATGGCAGCTCTCCAACCCGTGTCCAGTGAAGAGATTCAACCTGCCATCAGGCCACTGGAAGCGGAAGAGGCAGAGGCAGCAGAAGGTGAGTTTACTTCAGATGCGGGTGAAACTGCAAAGATACGTTTGAAATCCAAGATCATTTGAAAACAGCGACCTTGGTTTGAGGGAAAGGAGGTCCTTTGGATTGAAACCGGATAGGCACAGCCTGGCTAAGAGGTCTTTTAAAGTTTCATTGCATCCTTTATAGCAGCAGAGTGCAGAAAGACAAAATACATATGTTCTAGTTCAAATGAACTCTGAACTCATGCCAGATGCCTAAACTGAGGTTATAGTATTCTGGACGTGAGAGAAACCAAAACACACCGGAAAAAGACAATCATGATTGAAAAAGTGGAAGGCAGTAGAAAAAGAGGAAGAATGAATTTGAGACAAATTCACTCAGTAAAGGAAGCCACAACCTTTACTGAGTGCAAGATCCGAGCAGGGTTATTAAAGGCAAGATCTTTGGAAGGTCTTTAATATTTCTAAGGTTACCATATCTTGGAAGTGAGTTGACAGCACGTAACAACAGCCGTGTATAGTAATGCTATACCAGAGAATGTACTGCCTGGATTTCTATCATTCTTGGATTTTCACTCCATTTAGTTTTTTTTAAAAAAATATTTAAAGATAACATAACCATCAAGGGTCTAGTTATGTATAGGCAGGCTTGTAAAATGAGCAGTGTTAGATTTAGGGCTCAGTTAGGACTGCCTGAAAACCACACTTGGCACTTTTTTTTCTGCTGGGTTATTTAGAACTGCTGGCTGGATAGCTCAGTGGTTTAGGTATCTGGCTGCAGAGCCAGAGGTTGGGGGTTTGTGCCCACTGGGAGAAGAGCCAGCCTGCATGGCCGTGGGCAAGTTGCACAGTCCTAGGAGACTCTCAGAAGAAGCGATTGGTAAACCACTTCTGAGTACAGTGGTGCCTCGCATAACGAGCGCCCCGTTTAATGACGAATGCGCATAGCGATCCGTTTTTTGGGATCGCTAATGCGATTGCATACCGATGCTTTCTATGGCTGAAAATCACTTTGCGACGATTGGTAAGCGTTTCGCTTACCGATTTTCGCATAGCGATTTTTTTAAACCGTTGATCGGCGGTTCCAAAATGGCCGCCGGATGGCCAAAATGGCTGCACGCAGTGTTTTTGCACCCTGCCCTCGCTTATCGAGGGTGCGAAAGTGGCGGCTGAATGGGGAAACATCGCAGAACGGTGAGTTTTGGGCCCCATTGGAACGCATTAAACGAAGTTTAATGCATTCCATTGGGTTTTTCCGTTCCGTATAGCAATGTTTCCCCATAGCGACGGTTAATCCGGAACTGATTAACCTCACTATGCGGGGCACCACTGTACTGTACTCCCTACCTGGAAAACTCTTGGAAAAAGGATCGTCATAAGCCAGACTCAATGTGATGGCACATTATTATTATTATTATTATTAGTATTAGTATTAGTAGTATTAGTATTACTATTATTACTATTATTACTATTATTACTATTATTACTATTATTATTTCAGAACTGCTGGTAATGGTGAAACTTTAAAGGAGAAGGACACTGTGTATGTGATCAGTGGCAGTATCTTCTTGATTATTGCTAGCGCTGAGCACCGGATTTGAACAAATCTTAAATTATTAACTGATTGGACCAATTTATGAAGTCTAGATTAGAGATGGGCACAAACCGGTTTGTCCCAGATAATCTCAATTCATAAAGGCGGTGGTGGTGCTGCCTTCTCCTGACTCCTATGGCTCAGTCCAGCACTCACCAGACCCAGCCTGCTAGCTTCTTCCTCTTCCTCGACTGATCTTCCAATCTCGGCAGCAGCTCAGGCTTCTCGGCCCTGCCCTCTCAGCTGATCTCCCACTCAGACAAAAAAATGGGGCAGAGAAGTCCTTGACGATGGGAAAAGTTGGGTATCCAGAATTCTGCATATCTGAAATGGGGAAGAAATAATTTCTTTGTTGCTTATTATGGGAGCTATTCTGGGAAATTGAAAGGGATGTGGTGGCACTGCGGGTTAAACCGCAGAAGCCTCTGTGCTGCAGGGTCCGAAGACCAGCAGTCGTAAGATCGAATCCACAAGACAGAGTGAGCTCCTGTTGCTCCTCCCAGCTCCTGCCAACCTAGACGTTAAAAAGCATGCAAATGCAAGTTGATAAATAGGTACCACCTCAGTGGGAAGGTAACGGCGTTCCGTGCCTAAGTTGCACTGACCACGTGACCACGGAAACTGCCTTCGGACAAACACTGGCTCTACAACTTGGAAACGGGGATGAGCACCGCCCCCTAGAGTTGGACACGACTGACTAAATGTCAAGGGGAACCTTTACCTTTTACTTATTCTGAGAAATTAGATCAGTTCTCTAACCATTCAACTATCCAGTCCTTACATGACCAAAACCATTGAGGGAAAGAGCAATGCAATTACAGTATAAAGCAAACATCTTTGCCCAGTAGATGCCATACATACTGTAATAATCCATTCCCCATAGTAGTGCTTTGCTTTCTTGCCCTTTTTGGTCTCTGTTCTGTTCTCTTCCCACCCCATCCCTTCCACTCATTTTCTAAGTTTATTCCACAACCCTTAAAGTACAGCAATCAATGCTTGGTTACCGGACCTACCTGTTTGGATTCGCCACTGAGAACGCCACTGTGTTGGGTGATAAACTAATCATCCATCTGGCCAGCCTAGTTAATCATATAACCCTTTTAAGGAGGCCAAATGATTTCAAAATTCCTTTGGTACTAGTTGCCTTTAGTATAAGTGCTTCAAATTGACATAAATGAAAAGCTGTCATCATCCAGGCTGCACTTAGTGTAACACG